CACACATTGCCTCTATATGTGGTCTTTTTGTGTACGTGATCTATTTATTTGTGTGTATATATATATATATATATATATATACATACATATATACATATATATATATAACATATAAAATGTATGTAAGTGCACCTGACCTGTATCAATGAAATGTGCAGGGAGGCCAGAAGAGGGAATCAGATCTCTCTTGGAACTGGTGTTATGGAATGTTATTAGCTGCCATGTGGTGCTGGGTACCAAACCCAGGTCCTCTGCAAGAGCAGTCAACTGCTGAGCCGTCTCTCCAGTCCCTGGTCTTCTGTAAGATTTATTTATGTGTATCTGTGTGTCTGTGCTCATGTGAGTGCAATGCCCGCAGAGTCCAGAAGAGGGTGACGGACCCCCTCAAGCTAGTTGTAGGCAGTTGCAAGCCAGCTGCCTGATGTAGGTGCCAAGGTAGTATGTGCTCCAAACCACGGAGCTCTCTCTCTCCAGCCCCAACTCCCTTAACCAACTGACAGCACCAGTTAGTTCACTCACTTTTGTCTGTCCCCACAGTTACTCACACTCCACCAATACAGAACACACACTTGGGAACATTTGCCAAGACAGACCCGTTTAGACCATGAAATAAACCTAACAAACGCGAAGTACTGGAATTACACAGTCTGTTCTCTGACCCGAGTGGATTTAAATTAGAAATCTAGCAAAAAGATACCTGGAAAAAAAAAAGGTAAAATATCCAGAAATTAAATAGTTCAATTCTAAATAACCCACTGGCCAAAGAGGAAGTCTGAAGAGAAATTAGAGGAAAATCTGAATCATGAACATAAAGTCTCATGTTGAAATTTATGGGCTGTGGAACTGGAGAGATGGCTCAGCCGTTAAGAGCACTGGCTGCTCTTGCAGAAGACCCAGGTTCGAGTCACAGCACCCACATGGTGGCTAACAACCATCTGTAACTCCAATTCCAGGGGAATCCAACGCCCTCTTCTGACCTCCATGGGCAGTACACAACACAGTGCACTTACATACACGCAGGTAAAACACTCATATACATAAAATAAAAATAAGCCCCCCCTCCAAAAGGATGTGGTGGTGCACACCTTTAATCCCAGCACTTAGGAGGCAAAAGCAGGCAGATCTCTGGGAGTTCGAGGCCAACCTGGTCTTCATAGCGAGTTCCAGGACAGCTGGGGCTACAGGGAGACTCTGTTTTTTTAAAAAAAAAAAAAAAAAATTTAAAAATGTGTGGGTTGTGGTTGAGGTAGCGTTCAGATGGCGGTCCAGAGCAGTAGGTGCGCTTGGAAGAAAGACCTCCTCAGTTGGTCAGTCAGTGACTAGCACTTCTGCCTTCAGACCCCGGGGCCGAGGAGCAGCCAACCTGAATGCCATGGGAAATAGAAGACCAATGCGCAGACTCTTAAACAGAAATTCCCAAAGACCATGCCAGCTCTTTGAAAGATTAAAAACAGAGGTTAGATCCACCAAGAAAAAAACAGGAATTACCAATCAGCAGATGAAGGAGACATCCTACAGACACCTGGAGAAAGAAAGGACCATCGCACACAACCTGCGCCTACAAATCTGATGACTTAGGTGAAACAGAGTGCTCCTGTGAAAGGCACCAACCAGCACCACTCACCCAAGAAAAACCAGACAGACCTGAATCCATTAAAGTAATCCACCATCTATACCGAGTGACAGGCTCAGTGACAAACCTTCCGGAAGACAGCCCCAGCAGCAAATCCTACTGTGATGGTTCATCTTCACCATCAACTGTTCAGGGCTTAGAATCAGCTATGGGACACACTTCTGGCACATCTGTGAGGGAGTTTCCTGAGGGGTTTAACTAAGGAAAGAAAAACTCACTCTGAACATGGGTGACACCAGCCCATGGGGCCAGGGTCCCCAGAGACAAAACGAAAGCCAGCGGACACCAGCATCCGGCAACCTCTGCTTCCTGACTGGACGCAGGACCCCAGCTGCCTCGGGCTCCTGCTAGCAGGCCTTCCCTGTCGCTGTACTGTGGAACGGCGGTGAGCCAGGATGACAAACCTTTCCCATTGTCAATTAGAAAAGTAACCAACATGCTCTCAAACACAAGGATTGACATCAGTTCTCTAAATCTACCCCAGAAAATCGAAGAAAGGGAAGTTTTGTTTTTTGTTAAGTTGTCCCTAATCACTCTAGAATATTATATCCCACCATTTTGGGGACCAACATTACAGGGGAACCAAAAGCAGACAAAGACTATGCAAGGAAAACGGATGTCTATACCCCTCTCATGAGAAGGCAGAGGAAATTCGGAAAGAAATGGAAGAGTAGACGCCCACACGCTCCCTCAGTTGGTACCTCAGTTTAGGCCTCGGTTGGTGGCCTTGTTGTGCATACCCCTCTCCTCTTGTGCCCACCGAAGCCTGCCTACTCTGCCCCTCCAGCCACTGGCCACCAGCTTCGCCTGCACCACCACCCAGGCGGCATCCTTCCTTCCATGATCCCTGTCTGTAGACTTGTCCTTCGTGATGGCTGGGATCCAACCACTTCGGTCCTCTCTGGCTCCCCTCCCTCGCTGATGGTGAGACACACACCTCCCTAGAGCAAACCACTCTGGCAGCCTCCCCTCGCAGTCCTGCCCAAGTAGGCTCTTTTACAGCAGCGCCAACTCTGTCCTACTCCCCACAAGCGCTTATCTCTCAGCCTTGCTCCAGGCTCTATACCCAGCCTCTGCTGCCCACCTGGCCACCCGCCCATGGCAATTGCTTCCACCTGGCCAGGAGAGAACCCTTCCTGCTCTGCACGACCCTGGCCCCCTGCCACCCACCAGGTAGAAGTGGAACAGATGACTCACCCAGGGAGGACCCATGGCCCACACCAGGAAAAGGTCCCGTGGGCCAGGAGAGATACGAGCCTCCTCGGGCAGTGCAAACGCTTCAATGCCCAGAATCGGCGCCAGCCAAACAGGTGAGGGTGTCTCCAGATCTGGAGACTTCCTTGACAGGCCACGGGGGCCCTTGGCCACCCCAAAGGCCCAACCTGGTTTCCATGCAGCCAAAGCACCGAGCCCCAGATCCGGCAGGTCCGTGTGACACAAGCCGACTCGGGCTGCAGCTCAGGGGAGGCGGCACCCACCTGCTGGCCGTGGTTGTGCTGTTGGCCTTCTTGCCGGGCGGCTTCTTCTGCTGGGCCTGCTTGGCTGGCGGGGCGGCCCGGGCTTTCTTCTCCTCCTCCGACTTGGCCTTGTGCCTCTCTTTCTCCCTGTCCTTCTTCTTCTTCTCCTTCTCCTTCTTCTCCTTCTTCTTCTTTGGTTTGTTCACTGGGGCCTGAGACAAGGCGGCCAGCTGCTCATGCACGGCCTTCAGCTAGAAGAGAGCAGACAGTTGAGTGGCCCCCCTGGGCAGGCGGGGAACAGGAGCTGGCCCATGGGAGACAGGGCAAGGGCTCTAGAGGCGCCCCGGCGGCCGCCTCGGCTGTGTGAGAGGAGCCAGGTGCATCCATCTGGATGGAGCCGGTGTGCCCATCTCCTCATGCCCGCCGTTGTCTCTTCACCTTCGGAACCTGTTCTCGCCTGCAGGGGACAAGACGGCCTGTGGCTGTTCCCGGGCTGGGGCAGGCGGTGTAAGAGCTGTCTGCTGACAACAGCTAAAACTGACTGCTCGGTCTTATTTTCCAGAGGACTAGGCCGCACGCGCGTGCAAGGAGGAGACATACAGCAGCTGGGGGTCTGCAGCCAGTCCGAGGGACTGTGGTGAGGCGGCAGCAGCAGCTCTGCTTCCTGGTACCCGACCCATGGCCAGCAGGACAGAGTGCTGCATGTGTGTCACAGAGGAGGAGGACCACAGCCCCTGACAAGTAGGCAGGCAGTCTGTCCAGCCCCTGGGGAATCCCAGGTAAAGCCACATAGTCAACAGGGTAGGCACGGTACAGTGGGAAGGACCCACCAGCCCTACAGCCACACCTCATGGCCAACCCATGGCCCTGTCCTCATCATCTGGGAATGCAGCATGCAGCTCCATCTGGTGACATCTCTACCATCCTGGCCCTGCCTCCCCCTAAAGTCACCTGTGGCATGCACACTGCCTTGGCAACCACTCCGACATCATGGGGATGGCCGCCACATGCTGGGGAAGCATTTCATATTGTGGGGCTGAACCCCAAAACAAGTCATCCCGTCTGGCAAACAAGGACACAGGTAGTGGAGGGCAGGGGAGGCAGAACTGGGCCAGGCAGTGCCCTGCAGAGGCCGTGCAGAGCTGGTGACCCTCACCTGCTCCTGCAGTTCCGCCAGCCGCGTGGCTCGCTCCTCCTCTGAGTCCGAGCTGCCCGAGTCTGACGAGCTCTCCTCGCTGCTACGGCTGCTCTCTGCGCCTTTGCTCACGACGGGGGCCGCGGGAGCCGGGAGCGCAGGTGCTTCCATGGGCTCATCAGGCATCTTGGCAAACCTCATCTCAAACACATCCTGGAGAGGAAGAGGGTCAGGTCATCTGAGACCTGGACTCCCACAGGGCAGCTCCTGCCACACCCAGGATGCCTCTGAGATGCCGAAACACGCAGGGGTCGGGCTCTGGAGGCCGTGTGCTTCCACAGAGCCGTGCTCCCCTAGTCCACCTTCTTTCGCACCCCACCTTCCCAGGCAGGCCTAGGATGAAGGGTTGAAGCCAGCCAGCCCCAGACCTGGCACCCAGTTCCCTTGGCTCAGCCTGCAACAGCCCTGTGTGGGAGGCATGGGCAGCCCTGCAGCTTTTGGGTACCAGGCTTCTCCAGGCTGCCCCACTGCCAACAACAATGCCTTTTCTGGAGCCCTCCCTGCACTCCAGCAGGGACCCTGGCTACAGGGAGCTGGGAGCTGGTTTATGCCCCTTCCTGATCCCCTTCCTGGCCTTCACTACACTGGCTACCCTCCCACTACTGAGTGCCAAAAAAGGCAAAGCTGTGTGCTAGCAAAGCCAGCTTTAGAAAGCCCCTCACTAGCTCCGACAGGACCAGGCCCTCAGAAGGCCCTCTTGATGAAGACCACTCCATCCTGGAGCAGCCCCGCCAGACAACAGGGAGGGGCCACGAGGCAACTAGAGGGCCTTTCCTTTGCCTGGCTCATGCCTCATACCTGGTCTACCCAGGCACGTATGCGCACACATACTCACACACATCAGGCTGGAGCCCAGCTTCTGGTAGAGCCCGCTCTGAGTGCCCTCTCAGACTGCCCAACACTTAGATCCCTGACATAAGAAGGCAGCAGACTGGGAGGCCACTCTAGGCAAGTCGTGCTGCTGTTGGGCTCCAGTCCCAATTCATAAAACTAACAGCGGCAACTACCAGACTGGTGGTGACATTTCTCTAGCCTCTGTGGCCAGGATGCCAAAACCCACTTCTACAGGACGGAACCAGAGCTGTGCCCTCCGGCTATCCACAGCCCCTTTGTTAGGGAGCGCTGTCTAGCACAAGATAGGTCCTAAGTATGCCCCTGCACATACCAAGACCTCCATAACCATAGTACCCATTCCCCAGCAGGGCCCGTCCGGAGGGAGTAGGGCACAACCAGCATCAGAGAGACTGGATGCCTCATGGGGCCCAAGTTCAAGGAAGATAAGAAGTGTGGGAAGGAAGCGGGTTTCTCCAACCAACCCTCATGACTCAGAACGGCTACATCAGGGGACCTCAGAACTCTGAGTAAGGAATTAAGAGGGCCTTATAGAACATTCTAGATCCTAAAGTCAGACATGGTGATCGCAGAACTCAGGAGACTGAGGTGGATGGATTATTATAAGTTCAAGGGTTAGCCTGAGCTACAAAGCAGAGTTCCAGGCCAGCCTAGGTTAAAGAATCATGAGTCTATTTCAAATAAACTAATTAAATTAAATAATAAAAAATGTCCCAAACAAAATCAAATTGTTCCAGTGCTAAAAAAAAAAAAAAAAAAAAACTGTACCTGTAATTTTTACATTTTTCCCTCAAAAGGAAGTCTTTTGACAACCTCTAAGCAGGTAGCATTTGCTTTTTGTTTTCTGAGACAGCTCCCCGTAGCCCCAGATGGCCTGGAATTCACTATGTAGACCACTATGTAGACCAGGCTATGTGTGCTCTGAATTCACAGAGATCCTCCTGACTCTGGCCCAAGTGCTGAGATCAAAGGCGCGCATCACCACACGTAGGCTTGCCAGAGAGCATTTGCAAAAGGCAAATCGATTGTGGTTTAGTGTGTACCCTCAGACCCTGGCAGTAAGCCACGTGTACACACAAAGGCACACACACCACAGGATGAGACCTATGTGGATGATGACACAGTCAGTACGCTGAAGGCCAAAGTGCTCTGGTCCCATCAAGGCAGCCCGTGGTTCCCACATTTTCTCTAACAGTAACTATCATTCGACATAATGTCCACCCAGCCCTGCCCTATCACTTCAGCCAGTCCTACGCAGGTCCCAGAGGACCATCTGCAGTGACACCCTGCGGAGCCTGGGCAGGTAGGCATGGGACCCTGCAGCCAGAGGCTCTGCAAGCCTACCACATGTCCTGGAAGCTGCTCTGAGGCTGAGAGAATCTTACCACGAGTCAGGCAAAATGGGCTGTGGAAATGAGGCTCTGCAGAGGCCTACTGGGATGCTGAGGCACTTGCATCCATCCTGGTTTGCCTGCCTCCCCCGGGCCTGGACACCCACAGCATAACCTCAGCTGCTGGTTACCCCTGTACCCAGCCCCGGGTTACCTGGAGCTTCCTGGCCATGGCTACCACCTCGTGATCTGGAGGGTTGTACTTATAACAATTGGAGAACATTAACCGGATGTCAGCAGCGAAGCCTTGTGCATCTGGGTACTCTCGGCTATCCATCTTTCTCTGTAACAAACACAGCAACAGGCCTTGAGCAGACAGCACCACCCGCCAGACCATGTGAGGAACAGACTCGGACCCTCAGAACATCCCCCAAGAGCAGCACCAATGGTCAGCCAGGACACTTGGCTCACAGAGAACTCAGGAGATTCCAGGAGAAAGGGAAGAGGTAACAGCTCAGCAGGGAGCATCTGGAATTCATAGACAGAGCCCCCAGGGTGGAAGAAAGACAGACTGGGAGAGACCCCACCCCCAGCCCCGTGCTCAACTCTGTATGGTGGGTGTCACAGAAGGCTCTGATGCCAGGGGCCTTAGGGGACATCTGGTAATCTCTCTACTAATCTCACAGAGTATACTCAGCTTACAGGACACTTCACTTTCCTAGTGAGGAATCTGGGAGCTATTGCCAGCTTGCCTCTTAGGAGATGTCTTGGACCCAGAGGCAGCTCTGGAACTTATGCAGGGTGGAAGGTAACAGGGGCCTAAGGAGGCAGCACTGACTGGCCACCATAGACCCTGCAGCAAAGGCCCTCAGACTCCACTGAGGTCTAGCTCAAGCAGGCCTGGTGCAAGGTGAGGTGGGCAGGGTCACACAAGAACACAAAGCTGGGCGGGGCCAAGTGGCAGGAGTGGGCTGGCACACTAGAAGCTGCTTGTGAGGGTTATGAGATTCCCGCCTTGTGTGGAGACCAGCAGTCAGTGACAGAGGTTAGCACCCATCCCAACCCCTGGTGAGAGCTGGCCAAGTGCCACAGGAGTCCAACTGCAACAAAAGGACCTCAACTCCAAGCCTGGCTTCTCTCAGTGCACGCTGGGCTGGCTTAGAGAAAAGCCTCCTGGCCCTGGGATAGCACATGCCAGGCCAGCTTCTCCCTGAAGCTTTTTTTAAAAATTTTATTTATTATTTTTATTTTATGTGTATGTAAGTATCGCCTACTTGTATGTAAGTGCACCTGTGTCGTGCAATGCTGGCGGAGGACAGAAGAAGCTGTCGGATCCCCTGGAACTGGAGTTATGGACAGTTGTTAGGTGCCATGTGGGTGTTGGGATTCGAATCTGGGTCTTCTACAAGAATAGTGTTCTCAACTGCTGAGCCACCTCTCCAGCCCCCGCCCCCAAAGCTTTAAAATCTACAACATATTGAGATATTTATCCTTTCGATGTAGATTTTTCATTATTCTTTTTTTTTTTTTTTATTTTATGTGTATGAGTGTATTGCCTGCATGTATGTGAGTGCACCCGTGCTGTGCAGTGCCGCAGAGGTCAGAAGAGGGCTTCGGATTCCCCTGGAACTGGAGTTAAGGACGGTTCATAGCCACCATGTGGGTGCTGGGAATTGAACCCAAGTCCTCTGTAAGAGCAGTCAGTGCTCTTAACAGCTGAGCCATCTCTTAACCCTGGTTTCCTTACTTTTTTTTTGTCTTTTTTGAGACAGGGTCTCCTTGCAGCTCAAGCTGTCCTGGAATTCACTATGTAGACCAGGCTGGCCTTGAACTCACAGAGATCCGCCTGCCTCTGCCTCCCGAGTGCTGGGATTAAAGGCGTGCGCCGGGATTAAAGGCGTGCGCCACCACACCCCGCCTCAGCGTACATTTTTTAGAAACCATTACTGCACAGAATACGCAGGCCAGGTGGGGTAAAAAACTATTTTGGGGTTATATGGCTCCCAAGCCTCAGTTTCCCAAACCAGGACAGACCTACTGGACAGGACCAGCAGCTCACTTCATTGTTACTCAAATGAGCACTGGGCATAGCTTTAGGTGACCAGGCCTGCTTGTCCCTGGTATACACGACCAACCAGGAGCAAAAGCTTCTGCAGGGAGATTCTGCCTCTGGTTGGTGTCAGAGAAAAATGAGGTTAAGAGTAGCTGAAACCACTGTCTTTGCAAGGACATCTAGATAAAAACAGACAACTATGCCACACGGGGACATCCCTCTACAGTTTAGAAGTGGCAGTATGCTGGCCTCAATTGTTGAAGGCAGTCCTGGGAGCTGGCCTGGCGCTCCATCTGGGGAAAGCAGGAGCCACACCCAGCCCAGGGGCTGCTACCACCTGCCCAGGGGTTGCTACCACCTCAGGCCCCTTCTCACCCACAAGCTCAAGCCCACTCTCACGCCTGCCAGGATCTGACCTGGCTGCACACAGGCAAAAGCCAGGAAGAGCCGCCAACTCCAGGAGACCTTGGCACAGGGACAGAACAGCTGGGCTTGTGGTCACAGCTCCCTGTACTTCCCTCCACATCACCGCCACCCTCTGTCTGGTCTGGCACAGGGCCCAGGGACGGTAGAGGGTGCAAAGCCCACCCACTCTTATCGTCCCCTACTCTCATGTCTGCTGTGAGATGCTACATCCGGGTTTCAGGGAAGCTATCTGCAGCCTTAAACATCATACCAGACTTGGGAACAAATAAGCCCCCACCTCACCCTGCCTGATGACACAGAATGGGGAGTCCATCAAGCAAAAACCAAACCACTGAACTGGGTTCCACCAGAATAAGCAACGGAGGTGCATACTCCAAGAGACCGCAGGCCTTCCCTAACCGGGCCAGAAAGCAGTTAGCAGAAGCATCGTGGGCATGGGCGAGCCCAGCTATTGAGAGGTAAGAGACACCAGCAGCAAAAGTTGGCAAGAAGGCCACAGAGGGTGGCTCGTCCCAGTAGGACCACCCTGGTTGTGCAGAGCCCACAGGCTCTAGCCTTGGATGCTACCCTGCCCTCGGTGCCCCGCCTTCGGCACCCCACATACTTTGACAGTGCTGAGGTCCATGGGGTGCTTGATGATGTCATGGTAGTCATGCAGTTCCAGCGCCTCGGCATCCACGGGCTTGTAGAAGGGCCAGGCGTAAGCGGCATGCTTCTTGGACAGCATCTCACGGAGGATGCTGTCGCAGTGCCTAAGGTGCTCCGACAGCTTGCCCTTCTTGCCTGCATGCTGTGGCACCTCGCCATCCTCCAGGTCTTTCTTGGGTGGCTTGATGGGGCGACCCCCACTCTCCCGTCGGGCCACGACCTTGGCCTGTTTGGGCTCCGACATTGGTGGGGGAGACTCGCTCCGGCTGGCAGTAATGGCGGAGGTTGTGGGCGTGGTTGTGTCCGCTTTCCGCTTCACGCCCTTTTTCTGTGACAATAAAGAAGTGACCAATGAGCTCCAGAAACAAGGATGTGGACAGGGAGGTCTATCTCTCAGGCTGCCCACGCCTCTAGAGCACAGACTGCCTGCCAGGCCCCAAGCTAGGGACTACATGCAGGGTCTTGGCTCCTCCTCGGCTGTCCCCACAGTACAGAAGACACCGAGGCTCAGAGGGGCCGGGCTGTGGCCCAAAGTCACACAGCTGGCCATGGGGAGGCTGGGACTCTCTCCCTCAGCCCCAAGGGTCTGGCTGTCCAGGTGGGAGAGCACACCACTGATCTGAGCCAAAGTCTGATAAGCACCCTAGGCTGGTGCCAAAGACAGAGAGTTCCTGCTTTAAAAACCAGCAGGAAAGTGGCAGACCAAGCCCTGCCTGGGTGTTTCAAGGACAGACACAGACCCAGCAGGAAGGGGGAGGCAGGAGGAACATTCCAGGCTGGAACGGGTGGTAGGGGCAGCCTGATCAGGCTTCAGGTGAAGCAGCCACAGGAGTTAGAGGCTCAGGAACTCCAAGGGCTGTGAGAATGGGCCTGGACTCTGTCTGGAAGGCACGGGCTGCTGAGCCAAGGGGCAGTGAGAGGTGCCACAGCCTTCCATGGGTGTGCCTGGGGCTGGCTGCCCATGGCACGTACACACACACACAGCCTCTGCCAAGGGACAGTGGCTGATACCCAGGTAATCGGGGGGTGGGGTGGGGGAAGGGTGCCTCTGCCACAGCCCACAGGGCCCAGTCCATGGGCATTTCCAAGTTGGGGCCAGGGTTCGGTGTTACCAAGACCTGCCCAGCGGGTTTCCCTCAGTTTGACTTGGCCAGGCAGAGAAGCCATTAGGAGCCACAAGCTTATAAGCCAGGTGACGCCACCCCGGCACCTGTCATTTATAGCCCCTTGGGTCACTGCCCCAGCCAAGCTGACAACCTCAGGCTCACAGGGGCATGAGCTGGCCATCCACAGACACTGAATGGGCACCCACGGGACGCCAAGCACCAAGCTTGAGCTGCAGAGGGCCCAGAGCAGGAGGGCGGACTCGCGGTGGCAAACGGGACATGCTCCCTGCTAAAAACAGCCCCACGCCGTAGGAGGTGGCCTGGCCAGGTGCCACCGGGAAGTGTAGGCAGTGAAGGCCACAGGGGAGGGAAAGCGAGGGAGGTGGTGGCATTTTACCTTGGGAGAGCCATTTAACCCCTGAGCGCCCGCTTCCTCATCTGTAAGAGGGGGGACTACTGCCTGCCCCAGAGGGTTGCTGTGAGGATCAAATTGAAGAAGATAACATACATGAGTGTCCAGCATGGACCCTGCTCAAAGCAGGAGATTCCACAGGCCTTGCCAGCCCCGCGCCTCGCAGGGAGCCCCCATTCCACTGAGCCCAAGCTGGGCCTGGCCAGGACAGGATGGCGCCTACTGTGACGAGCTCCCAGCAAGCAGGGAGCAGCTGTATAGGCCTGGCAGGTGCCACTGGCCACCGCTCCCCCAGGGGTAACCAGGGAGACTTGGACCCCTCTGACCCTCACTGAGTTCCCACCTTCCCTACCTTCTCCAGTGGCTCACAAAGGCCAGGGCTGCCAGGCCCAAGAAGCTGGGGTTCAAGTCCAGCTGGGCCAGCACCAGCTGTGTGACCTCCACCCCTGAGCCTCGGTCTTGTCTGTGCAGAGAACCTCTCCGAACAGCCACAGTTGGAGAGGGGGCAGCAGAGCTCTCACCCGCTCCAATCCGTGCCCCGCTTCAGAACTCTACGGGGCCTGGACCCCCAGATGGCCTCACCAGATGGCCACCCAGGCTTCAGGGATGCTCACCTTGACGACAGGCGGCGTGGGAGGGATCACAGGGACGATGGGTGTTGCAGGAGGAGGTGGCGCGGCAGCCGGGGGTACGGGAACCGAAGTGACATTCGCGGTAATGGTTGGTACGGGGGTGGCAGCAATGACGGGTGTCTGGGAGGCAGTGGGGGGCACGTTCTGGAAGGGGGTCGCTGGGGAGACCGAGGACACAGCTGCTACTTGCTGCGTACCTTCAAGACAAGGACGGGGAGCCTAGTTCAGAGGGTTCTGTATTTCCAGAGGCATCTAGGACCACACCTTCTGGCCACAGTGCACTGGGTCAGTTGGGACAGACCAAGACCGGCCCCCACTCTGGACGGAAGCCCGCTACCCAAGCAATGCTCACAGAATGAATGGATGAGACCCCTCTGGCTAAAAACCAAAGGCGATGGAGAATGGAAATCAGGAAAAACCCCACAGCCAGCTCTGGGTCACAAAACCCACGACGGAACTCAGGGTCCACGGCTCGCGAGACCCCAGGACACAGCCTTCTTCATGCCCGGCTTGTCTCAGCCACTCTGCCCAACGCAACTCCCGCTGCCTGTTCTCAGACCTGGTTGGATGCCAGGGCTCTGGGCACCGATGACCCCAACTCTCGCCAGCAGGGAGACAAACTCCCCTAAGCCAGGGAAGAAGTCACGCAAAGCCAGCGCTCAGGTCAGCGTGAACAGAAGATTTAGGAGGGCAGGCAGACACGGGACAGCAATGGTAATATCCTCCCTGCCCCAGACCACCACCTCTTGGGCACAGCCAAAACCTGCCACCTGCCAGCCCATCATACCTGTTCCACCCAGCAGCAGGGATACAGCTCAGATGGGCCAAAGGACTCACACCCTCCCTCCCCATCCACCTGTGGCCACAAAAGAAAACACTGGCACCCCCCGCCTGCCTCCTTTACCTGCACTCTGGGCTCCCGTAGCCGGCTTTCGGCCTTTGCCCTTCGGAGCAGGGGGTAACAGCTCAACTTCCTCCTGGGGCATCTGGGCCACTTTCTGGAGAAAGATTTTCTCTAAGGCCTGGGCCATTAGCACTATGTCATCTGTGGGCTGAAGACAGAGAGCCCCGGTCACTCGCTGGGAAGGGAGCTGCGCACTTGCAAGGCATTGTGGGTTGTGGGTCAAGAAAGCATTAAAAGCTATTTCTTCCTTCCTTTTTTTCTTTTTTTGGCCTTTTTGAGACAGGGTCTTCCTGTAGCCCCAGCTGGCCTGGAATTCACTATGTAGACCAGGCTGGCCTTGATCTCACAGAGATCCGCCTGTCTCTGCCTCCCAGTGCTGGGATTAAAGGTGTGCGCCACCATGCCTGGCTAGCTACAGAATCTATTTCAATGTGGAAAATCCTGGAAGAACGCAAACAAGAACGAAGTGCTAAAACCAGCCTTCAACCTGGCACAGAAGACACTCTCAGCACCAGGTACCTTTACCGTGCCACTATTAAAGGAACAAACCTCCAAACAGGGTCCCGTTCGACCTCCCTCACTACCCTCTGCAGACTTCCCAAGCCAGAGTGTTCTGTGTCACTTTGAGTGGCTACCTGTTAGGACCAGAGCTTACTTGGCCACCTCCTCTGCAGGACAGGACACCCCAGCTCTGCACCCTTGGGCATTCTAAGCATAGGGCTCCTAGGCCCCAGGGTAGGGCCTATGGGTCATACCAGAGACCTCTGAAAGAGCTGCTCAGTTTCCACTGCCCCTAGCAGGCCATTGGGACAATGGGAGGAGTCATGGACCTTGACAAAAGGCCAGAACACCAGAGCGTGGCCTGCGCTAAACCTGAGAGCCTCTGGGGTGTTTGGGCTCTTGGGGCTCCAGCCAACACTGACCACCCCCAGGGGTACAGGCTTCCCAACGCTGAACTTGTCTCCCTAAGTGGCTTTGGAGCCCACGTTTCACGTCTTACCTTGTTATAAATATAGCAGTTTGTAAACATGGTGTTGAAGTCCTGCATGCACTCACTGGCACTCCAATAATAATTATTTTCTAGTCTCTTCTTGATAGTCCCCATATCCATTGGGTTTTTTATTATTTTATGATAATCCTAGGAAAGAGATGGTCAGAGGCATTACTGACATGTCCAACATTAACCTCATGTTTTCCAGACACAGCAAAGTCCTCCCAGTCAGCTGGGTCCCAGGCCCAGAGGTTGAGGGCAGGTGCCCATGTGGCCTGAGGAGAGCCCTCAGCCAGCTCCAAACTCTTGTCAGACTTCTCTCACATTCCCAGGGGATTCTCCAGCTGGGGGCAGAGCCTGAGCTGGTCTACATAGAGTGGAGCTCAACCTCCTGAACTAACTGTAAACCTGCAGGTGGCCAGGGACCAAGCTGTGCCCAGAACCCAACACCTCCCTCAAGAAACATGCAGGGATTCTTTATATGAGTCCAGCTAAAGCTTGAGCGCGCACTGAAGGAGCCATCACCTGGAAATGGGCCTCACCGCACACCTGGTATCTGGCTGTGAGCGGACATGATGCACAGCCCCCAGGCGCATGGGATAAAGACCTGGATGGCCCGCCGCTCCTGAGCCTCAGCGTCCTCTGCTCCCCTCCCTGTATTCTTCCACCTGGAGGCCGCAGTCAGTCCCTGAACCTGGGGTAGCAACCCTGCCAGGCTGCCCCCGGCTTAGCAGAACCTGCTGCCATCTCGGGTACCACCTTTGCAAGGCCAGGGATGTGGGGGTGTGGGGTTTCCAGGAGTGGGCTAGAGGCACTCACAGGCAGGTTGAGCTTGATTGCATCCACGGGTTGGTAGAAGGGCCAGGCAAACTGGTGCTTCCAGAGCGTCTTTACCACCACGTTCTGCATATACTGCAGCTGGTTGGTCTTACGGCCTGGCTTGCTGGGATTGGAGACCTCGGGTGGAGGTGGATTCACAGGGCCCGGGGCTGCCGGGATCCCCGCGGGGGCGGCCACCGTGGTCGTGGACATCCTCTGGCAGTGTGTTCACTTGCTGTCACAGCAGCTCAGAAAGGCCCTTGCATCTCCCATGCCCCTCGAGAAAGTTCGGCATCCCATTTCCGGGCCCAATCAGGCACCTGCACAGAGGAAGAAGACAGAAAAGCCTATCGCCTCAGCAAGGACACGGCCTGTTCCCACCAGCCCAATGCCCTTCCCCACCCCAGCGTGCCGCTTCGGCCTTTCAGAGCCACCCCAGTGACTCTTTCCTGACCTGGGAGAAAAGGGCTGGGCAGCTGGGGTAACGCAGACATGGGTCACCCACTCCCAGGAGGGCAGCGGTGTACAGATGACCTGGCCACTTTCAGCTCACTGTCACCAAGCCACCCACTGGTTGAGGCAGGCTCACTTCTACTGGACCCTCAACGACTTGATGGTGGCAATGTTTTAAACAATTCAAGCGCAGAGAACTGACACGTACCCAACAGCTGAGCTTAGAGACAACAGATTTACAGACCTATACCAAGCGTAGGGAGCCGGAGCCCTGAGCGGGGGATGGCGTGAGGTCCTATAAAACCGGAACGAGCTGGGGTTTGTGATGGCAGCTGGCTCTGACATGCCTGACCCTCATCCGATCAGGACAGCAAAAGAGAGTGACCCTAAGTCCCCTTCTACATCCCACCAATGTGCTCATTCCCCGAACGAGGGGCAGTCACAGGCTCTGGTCTTCTAGCCTAGCTATGGGAATGCTGGCCACACCTAGAGGTGAGCTGGCCAGGACAATCCTGCAAGTCCCTGAAAAGCCAGGATGAGCAGGCAAGCAAGGGCGCACCGGTACAGCGCAGGGTGCTCCTCCTTCACAGGGCTCCTGATGCAGAGCCCCTGCTGTGTAACACTCAGTGCCCAGCACCTGCACAGTACGCCTACAGGGTACCTGCTGCACAGTTCTGCTGCCGCACAGCACCCTGTAGTGCTGAACACTGGAGTGCTGAGCAGCACAGTACCCTCGCAGCGGAGGAAGCGCACTCCAGAGTGCTGTGCACAAACTCCTTGCTGTCTCCTGAGGAGGAAGCTAGCCACATGTGCACTGTGGACCCACTTCCACTTGTGAAGCCTAGGACAGGTGCCACACTGCACACGAGGCCATGCCAGGCCTTGCCCCTCATCTGTGAATGTGGCTGCCACGTGAGTTTCCCTATGTGCTTACATTACAGGTACAGCTCAGGGAGGGGCAGTCACTATCGGCTGCCGAATCCAGCCACCTGAGACCAGTAACGCCCTGAGCATCTTGAGGGCTGCCCAACATCCCACCACAGGAGTTGGTGAATGCTGTTCACCAAGGCTCTTTCCGTTTGGGACACCTCCTCCGTCTTTCCTCCCATCCCAGCTCAGGGTAGAGGGTCTCGGCGGCTTTCACCAGACACACGGCACCCGCCGAGCAGCCCTCACGACTCGTCTGTCACCCAAGAAGTGCTTCTTTGGGGCCCCATCTGAGCCTCACCATGGCTCTCCAGGTGTGAGCCCGGACACCCACACAGTGCCACTTCACAGGCTCCTGCATCTCCCCACCTAGTACACAGAGCCTCAGGGGCAGATCAGTGGGGAGGGCAGGCTGCCCCTCCAACCCACGCCAATAGCCATGAGGCTGTGTCCTCCCCTGTCACCAAAGGCTACCTAGGCACAAGCCCAGGCCACCCACCCTCCAGGCCGGCAGCCCCTACTTCCACACCACCACCTCTCACTATGACAGTCCTGCCCTATACACAGAGGTAGGCCTGTTAACGAGCTGGATCGAGTCATTTGTTGGTTCAAAACCCTCCAGGGCTCCCTGGCTCCATGCTGACCAACAGTTTGAGGTACAGGGACGTGGGACGACTACAGTCACTACAGACCACTACAGTTGGTCCTACCCTCCCTCAGGACAGCAATAAAGTCAAGCTCACGTCCTTCCAAGGCTTTCTTGGAACCCCAAACAGCATGACACTGCAGGACAGATGCTGAGGCAGACAACCCAAGGTCGTCCCTGCGACCTGCCAGCCCCACGTTCTGTGACCGCTGCAGAAAGGGAAGCCCTGGATCCCCAGGAGAAGAGGTCCACACCCCAGCTCCCTAGCACTAGTGTGAGGGTCTCCAGGACCTCTGGCTGGTCTTCCTATGGGCCCAGGGAGCTGGGACATGGGGCTGAGACTAACCTGGGGCACCCATGGCACCAAGGAGCCTAGGGCTGCAGACAAAGGTGTGGACGGACCTTCTCGGAGGGGCTGCATGGTCATAGTCTCACCTACAGTCACAGCCCTTTCCACACCGAGGTACCAGGACCCACCTTCTGTTTGTTTTTGTTGGTTTTTATTTTATTTTTGGTCTTTTTGAGACAGGGTCTCCCTGTAGCCCCCGCTGGCCTAGCTTCCCTATGGAGGCTAGGTTGGCCTCAAACTCAGAGATCCACCTGCCTCTGCCTCCCAAGTGCTGGGATTGAAGGCGTGCACCACCATGGCTGGCAGGATCCACCTTCTGGAAAGGCCCTGATGACGGGGTGGAGACAGGTAGGGAGAGAGCAGGATGAGAGCCGGGAAAGCCAAGCTGCCCAGCACCCAAGGCCACCATGGAAGGAAGAGGCTGAGAGATGGGATTCCAACCAGCCAGCACCCAAGCTCCCTGAGGCTGAGTCAGGTGCCCACATACTTCTCTGCCATCAGTCTGGCATGTGTGAACAGTGGAGACCACCATAAGCCCGGCCTGACCTTCCCCCAGCAATGCCTAGCAATTCTCAACTAATCAGACAGCAGCACTGAGCAGACCAGACACTGCCACACATGAAATGCCATACCAGTGCTGGAACCTGGGAAGGAGGGCGATCCATAGATTGCCTTGCAAGCATCCCCCACTGGAGACCCAAGCTGCTCATCAGGATGAGAGACTGGGAGGCCAGTGCTGCTTTCAGAAAGCACAACAAACAGACCACCAGGGCCTGCTGCAGGTAGAGTCAGACATTCCAGTGTACATGGACAACATAGTCCAAACAGTATGGGGAGGGCTATAGTGGCCCCAACTCCAGCCCCCAAGGTGCCCTCCAGGTGACAGGGAAGGTGGCTATGGCAGCCAGGACCATCATCCCTGGCTGACACAGAGCCTGCTCAGCACACCTGGGCTCTGCAACCATGCCCAGGGGCTCTCCTTCCTGGTAAGGCCAGGTGGGGGAAACACCAGAAATGCCAGCAGGCACAGCATGTCTGGAGGCCCCTCCCTCCCTGACAGATACATCCACAATGCTCGCCACCCTGCAGGTCAGAGGCATCCCCACCCCTTCCTGGTCTGTACAGTTTTAAGACAGAATCTCACTCCACAGCTCAGGCAGGCCTGGAATTATGTAGCTCAGGTTGGTTAACCCGAGGGTCCACCTCTCCCCGGGTCACTTGGCAGGGGCAGGGGTCTCTCTCACGCACACCTCTACTCCAAATCCAACACCAGGTTCTGCAGGGAGGGCTCTGGTACCTGGGCTGGCTTCTCTGTAGATCCCTGAACACCTTCACTTGGGACCTCCAGGCCGGGGGTGAGCTGCAGCACCCAGGGCTTCAGCCTGTGCCTTGGGCTGGTTAAACCCTTGCTGGAGGGTGAATGGAGGGTGTCGAACTCACCCTTGGCTAAACATCTGATCGCCTTCCGGAAGCTGTGTTGATACTTTGGGAGTGTCAGCAACACTGTGGTTGTACATTTTTAAAAGCCCCTTATATTTTGGGGATTTGTACAAGCTCTAAAACTGGAGGTCTCTTGGAGGTTTTAGACATATGGGAACTGCTATACGACAGATCAGATAGCCTGGGACCGCCCAAGAGGCAGGATACGCCACGGAGGGGGGCAATGACCGCAGGTGGTACAGCTGAGACTAAATCAAGGTACCGAAGAGATCCCAGGCCTTCAAGACTCCCCTGAACTCCACCTGCTTCCAGGGCAATGGGCACAGGAGGGGCCCTGGCTGGTCTGCTCTGGCTCTGTTTCTACAGTACTCCTAGGGCTGGAAACCAGCCTTCTAGGTGCTGGCCTAAAGACGTGAGAGCACAGGACCGCAGGACCTCACAGCTAAAGTGGCTGGTGAACCCTGCCAGCCCTGAACACGAGTGCGCCTTGCAGACAGCGCCCCCTAGGGGCCGCCTTCTAGCTCTGCCCTGTCCTCCACACAGGGCCAGAGAAGCTGCAAACCTTACTGTCGTTGCTTCAGTAAGGCACAGCGGAGAGGTGGTGGCCCGCAGGGAGGAACTGAGGTTCAGGTCCTCAGGGTCAGGCCTCTCAGCTGCTGGCCACCCACAGAACCCCTGGCCCGGCCCAGCAGAGACAGGAAAAAGTTGCAGGGCAGGTGTGGGTGAAAGTCAGTCTGAAGAGGCATTAGCCTCCAGAGGATGCGAAACCACCTGGTAAGGAAATTCAGGCAAACCACAAGGTTCAGAGACACCAGGAAAGCCTGGGGCACTGGCTCTGATGAGACCCTGGAGAAACACCTGAATGCTGGGGGGTCAGGGGCACCCAGGGAGGGCGGAGTCAGCTTAAACCCTACACTGATGCCAGGTCCACAGGGCCCCTCACTCCCCACCAGGCTCCCCCATCCTCCTGCTAAACCCGTTCAGAACAGAAGTTAAGGCCTTAATCCTGCCTGTCTTCCCGCCCCAAGGCACGTCTTGGGCATGCCATCTCCCCCTTCCCAGGTCCATGAACGACACCAGAAATCCAGCCCTTGAAGCCCAAAGGACACGTCAGCAAAGGTGAGAGGCCAAGGCTATTTCAGGCGTCCTGGGCAGACAGGGAGGGAATGGAGACTTGCAGCTGTCACCATGGCAAACACCAGGAAGCTCAGCACAGACTCACAGCCTCCTCCTGTCACTCCACAAACCGTGGTGGCTCAGGCCTTCCCCCACCACAATGGACAACAGACACCTGTCACCCCCTGCAGCCCACATTCAGGGTCCCCCAAGGTCAGACACACGGCCACTCGGCCAAGCACACTGGGCGCCTTCCCCCATGCCAATGCTGGGTCAGACCAGCAATGAGACCGTTGCTGCCAGGGATGGTGGCATAGCCGGCCCGCCCTGGCCTCAGTGGGAAACCCTTTCCCAGGGTCCAGGGAAGAGGACACCCCCACTTTGAGTAGAAAGCTGCCTTGGCCATGTGTGGGGGATTGTTAGGAAGGGGCAGGGCCATCCTCAGGGGCTTCCAGCTGGGGGCATCTGAGAGCTACAAAAGGTGACCGAGGTATGTCTGGGGTGGAGGCAGTACAGGGCACAGATGCTGGGGGTGGGGGGATGGAGGGGCAGTTGGTAGGGGATCCCTAGAGCTCAGTTGGGGACAAAGTTTGAGCACAGGGCCTGATCCAGCCTCAGCCAATTGTCCCTAGCCATCATACCTCCAAACCCCAGTCTCTCCATTCCCCTGGGATCTTCATAGCTCTGGAGGACACGGGGTCTCTGTATCCCAGGACCCCTGAGTCCCTGGTGGTCCCCAGAGTCCAGCCCCACCTCCCTGCATCTCATCAGCTCCTCTTCCAGGTGGGCAAGGTGACACTCAGAGGGGGCAGTCAGGCACAAGGAGGCCCAGGCAGGAGGAGCCGCAGCAGGCCTTGAACAGAGCTATCCACCCAGACTCACTACCATCCCCAGAAAACTCTCAACAATGCTGTAGGCTGCTGCCTTTACCCTGGCATACCAGCTGGGTGCCCTGGGAGTGGCCACACTGGGGCCAGCCCTCCAGGCCTGGGAAACCGGATCCTTTAAGGGCAGGGCCAGTGACAGACAGAGCCAACTGCTCCCTGCTATGAGGACCTGGGGAGAACAGGCTTGGGGGGGGCCTCTGGGTGGCCCCAGGGAAGGCAGATGGGTGCCTGCGTGGGTGCCTCCTGAGTGGCACTGCCTGGCCTTCACTGATGGGGTACCCCAGCCAGCACCCCAAGCTCACCCTAGTCACATCACTCCTGCCTCCAACCACCACCTAGCCCTGTCTCACAGGGGACTCAGCTCTGGTAGGTCAAGCCCCACTCCATAGAGGGCCAGCTCTGTGAGAACCATGGCTGTCCCACGGAAAAGCACACAAGGCTCAGTGACCACAGCTGTCGCCAGGGTCATAACACCTCTCCTGCCTTCAAACTGCCCCTCACGGCCCAGTGTTCCTCATGCTTCCCGAGTTCTTGGTTTTGCTCAGGCCTCAGCTCCCCACATTCCAGCAGTTCACTCAAGAAAGCCAAGCTTCCCTTCTTGAAGTGACAGCAGCCTCCAGAAGGACCTCTGAAATACTCCAGCAAGCTGCCCCACACCCAAGACCCACTGTATGGTGCTGAGTGATGCCCTCTTCTGAGGGGCAGTGAGATGATGACACTTCAGCTTACACAGGGAAGGTGGCACTATCCCCACGGATCAGGCAGCCTGGTACTCGTGGGGAGGCCCGGCAGCCTTGCACGCAGCCCCCTAAGTGCTCCATGCACGGTAAGGCTCAAAGAGCCCGACAGTCCAACTGAAAGTTTCTGGGCGGGAAGCCCGCCTGGCATCTGGGTCTAGTGGGTCATGAAACAGCCCTCTCCTGATGGGCAGCAGGTCAACCCATCTCATGGCATGATCTGCATAAGGGTTCACTCAAGCCCAGAAGGGTTACCACCTTGGCTCTCACTCATCTGCTCTAAGCATCCCCAGGGCCAGACCAGGGGCCAGAATGGGAGGATCACTACAGACAGCCCACAGCCCAGAGGCTCAACCACCCCATCCTCCCATCCACCACTCAGCAGAGGTGTGTCTGTCATTAACAGGAGAAAGTCACCATCCACTCACCCCAAGTGTCTCCTTTGGGTCCCTTCTGCCAGTGACCCTGAGGAGCCAGCTTCATCAGACCACTGAACAGGTAGGAAGGGAGGCCAGAAAAGACGGTGGCTGGGAGGCTAGGGGGCCGAGATGCACAGCATCGGGGGAGCAAGAGGGCCAGGAACCCAGGGCCATCACCTTGCCCTGCCTGACTCCACTCTAGCCAGGTTCCAGGCGTGGCCAGAATAGACAGACGAGGGCAGAGCTAAGAACTCTGAGCACCACAAAGGCACGTGCCTCCCCTGTGCAGTCCTCTGTATCTGCCCCAGCACAGAGCTGGTTCCAGCGAGCTGGGCCAGCTCTTCATGGCTATCTGGCAGGTCAGACTGTGGGTGGCTGGGGGCCAAGTGGTACCCCACCTTACCATCAGGTCGTACTGCCCAGGGAGGACACTGCCTGCAGAGCTTAGTCAATTCCTTTTCTTCCTGTTACGTACCACAGGCACAGCAGACACAAGGAGGCCCGACGGCAGCGGGAACTGCACCCTAGTCAGTACCACACACAGAACCAGACCCACAGGACTCACATACTGCCTGTGAACACCTGAGCCATCCCAACCCCCAAGACCCTCGGTCCTAGGAACAGACTCCAAGACCATACCCCTCATGATGGTTACCTGGAACACGAATGCCCCCTCCACCCCAGACTCCAGGCCCCACCAGGATCCTCCTCTGCAGGTCACAGAGGATGTCTGGGTGTGTTTTCTGGTCAAGAAGCCCAATTTCCAAGTCCATTGGGACCCACCCAACCAGAGACACTTGGACACTGCTGTGCCCATGTGACACTTCTGGGCAGCTGGAGAAGCCTCCCCTCTGCCCATGCCTTGTTAAGCCCCTGTGGGGCTCTGTGGGCTAAGGCTAGGAGGAGACTTTCTCCAAAATGTATCTCCAATTCAAGGCCATCTGGCCCCAGAGAAGGACACTGAGAGCTGGTTCTCCACAGAACCCTCAAAAGCTGCTCATCAACAGTGCCACCTGCCAGAGCCAAACCTCTAGTCACACACACACCACGGACGAGCACGAGGGTCCCACAGCCCCACTGGTAATTCCGATCTACACCAGCCAAGAGGCCTATGTGGACACCAACTCCTGAGCACTGAGAGTGGGATGCCTTCCCCTGCAAAGAGCCCCTCAACACCTGAGATAGCCAGGCACCCCTCAAGGTAGCAGTGATCATAAGTAAAAGAAGGGGACACCACTCCTGGCAAAATCAACCCTAAATAGCAGCCCCACTCCCCAAATGGGGACTTCTGCAAAGTCTCAGGTGTTGGGGATGAGGGTTGTCAGGACCCCATAAGCTCCAAGACAGTCCCAAGTCCATATTACCTTCTGAAGAAAGAAAGGGTCTCCACCAGTGCAGGTACAGGGACGTGTCTGAGCCCCAACAACCAGGAGGCAAGACAGGACCCGTACAGCTGACCAGCGCCCTAAGAAACCAAGCTGCCAGAGATCTGCTTGGAGGCTTCCACAGACACGCCGACACACCCCTGCCCTAGCACCCTGCGGCTCCTCCCTGGAGATCTGGGTACACCAGCAGTTGGACACCAGGCAGCGGCTGTTACTGTCCTGTAGCAGATTCCATTTGTGGCCTTAGCCACCCTCCCCTAGAGAAGGCTCTGCCACCGTACACCAGGAAGTGGACCAGGCAACCCTTGAGGGGAGGGGTTGGGAAGGGGGTGGCTCTCCAGGCCCACAGCAGACTGGGCAGAAGCAGGGCCAGGGCCTTCCATTTCAACCCCCCCCCCACACACACACACTTTCTGTGGAAGCCTGCCTAACGCCTCTGGGTCTGAAGGAGGGTGGGAGCCTTTACAAACTCCATCCCCTATTCAAAGCTCACTTCTGAAGCAGGAACCTGCACTACGCAAGGCAGGCAGTTACTACTCTACTTTCTAAAAGCAAAGCAAGACAACAAACCCGCATGCACTCGCTCAACTCAACCCACCCCGCAGAAGCTTTTAAAATTCCTCCTCCCTTGATATTCCAGCGGTACAGCTTGGACTGAATCTCCACAGATAGCCAGTCTTTGAAGATGGAGAGCTCTGCTCAAGCACTGGGCTGAGAGCTTATGGGCAAGGTCAGCACCCCACCTCTGGAGCTGTCAAAGCTCCCGTCTACTGCACACACCAAGGCCTGAGTCAGAGCAAACAGGCCTTTATTTGCAAATGAGAGGCTACACTCAGGGCCACCAAAGAAGGTCACTAGGGCCTGAGGCTGGGCCTGGCCCCTGGAAAGCATGAGACTCTCTCTGCAAACACTGCAGGGCAGCACAGGACAGGTCTCTGCTCTCTCTCGGACCCACGAAGAACTCCACTTTAAGGACTAAGGGAGCCTGCAAAACCACCAGGGGGAGGGGGAGGTGGGGAGGGAGGAACTAGGCTGTCCACACTGGAGGAGGAGGGAAGGGCAGAAGCGGAGGCCTGGCGATTTCTCCACTTACTTTTCTTCTGTCCAGCCCTATTTACTGACCACCCCCACCCCGCGCGCCCTCCCCACAAACTTCTACAGACAATAACCAAGTTTAAGGTAGAGAGAGAAACACGAGCTGTGCAGTTCAGACAGAAAGCTCTAAACTAAAATTAGAGGGCAGAGCTTTAGGGTTGAGCCCAAGAGCGGGAACACACATGCCCGCACCCCGTATCCCACCCCTCCCAGTCGGTCCTTCCAGTGCCCCTAACCTCAAGGGCAAGAAGGCCGCCCAAGGCCCCCTGCTCAGCCCTGCCACCCCACCCCACCCCACAGCAACTGGTGGAGATGACTGCGCCCAAGCCGCCAGCCTTATTCACCCCGAGCCCTCCAGAATCACGTACGAGAAGCTTGGGGGGTTGCTCATTTGGGATGCTCAGTCTTCGCCCAACCTGTATGTTAGCCCCGAAGGGAGAAGAGGAGGTGCACCCCACCCCTCCCATCTCGCTCCAACTAGACCTCACCCGGATTAAGCACTCTCTTTTCAGACTGATTTCAAAATGCGAACTGGGTTTCCTCCCGACCTGGCTGCTGCAATCACCCAGTAACTCGCAAGGGCGCAAAGTCGGCTCCGGGGCCATAACTCTCCTTAGGAGGCCGCCGCCCCCCAAAGCCACGCCGTCGCTCCCCACGGGGGGATGCCCGCGCACAACCCAAACCCGGCCCGGCCCAGGCCCCTCAGCCTGCAACCGCGACGATCCACCCACCCCCGGGGGCGTGCGCCGGAGAAAGGGGGTGGAAAGTGGCTCCGGAGCGCACAGTCGCGTCCCGGGTACACCGCGCGCACCTTCCCGCGCCGCGTCCTCCGGGCTGTCCCCTTCGGAAGATGGCGGGCAGAGGAAAGGGGAGGGAAAAAAAAAAAAAAATCCCTTCCGCGAGGGAGGGCGCGCGGAGGCCGGGCTGGCGCGGTGCGCGCGGACCGTGCCAAGTCCAGGCTGCGCGCCCTGGCCGAGGCGACGCCTGCGAGTCCGGGACCCAGGCTGGCCGAGCCGACGCGGGCACAGGGCGGAGTGG